TAGAAGGAGTGGAAGTTCCAGAACAAACTGTGTCTTTTTCGTTGCTAGTGGAGAAGTCCAGATCCTAAGAGGAATGCAGTCACTTGGTGTAAACACTTCACTCTCCTCTTATAAAACTCTCTCTGAAACGGAGGAAACCACTGTCAAGGCAGCGGGTGGTGACAGACACAGATTCAACAGTGGGGAGACACTGATGATAAAGAAGTTTCTGGTCCAGGAGCTGAAACTAATAGAAGAAAACTTTAATTTGATGCAAATTGAATTTAGCACAGACTGCATACAGTCTCTGAGGGCAGGGTGAAACTTCTGAAAGTTGTGTCAAATTGAAGTATTTGAAAAATCTGCTTACTTAAATATAATTATTTTATTTTTATATGCATTCAATGGTCTTCTACTGAGCGTAAACATAAACAGAGTGAAGAATATCTGTCTGTAAATGTTTATTCACTAAGGAAAGGGCTTTTTTTTTAAATTCTAGTGATTAAAAGTATGGATTGTGGAATGAGAGCCTTGGAGTTTTAGTCCTGATGGGAAACTTGCTTTCCAGATGTTCTCAGTGGGTTTCCATCTCATTCCAGTCCTCTTCCTCTCACGCAGGCTGTCTGAATTATAATATACATCTAGCTTTACTATAGTGTACATCTTTCATAGCAGAGAGCCTAGCTCTTAATTACTCCAGGAATAAACAGTGATGGTTTAATAAACATGGCTGCAAAAGCAGTGTCTTTTGTGATATCTGTGGCTCCATAGGCTGGCCCTCAAGTGTCACATGCATTATTCATGTGATTTATATGCTTTATATGTTACATCTACAAACAGATGCCAACACTGTATACATATTTTCCCCAAAGTACCAAAATGTTTATAATAGCAACAGTTACATAAATACTGGAAAGCCCCAGGTGCCCATTGATAATAAATTACAGGATTTATTCACAATTTAACACATTGAAAAATTTGAGAAATATTACAGCAATGATAAAGATGACCCATAACCACATGCGGTGATGTAGAAGAAGTTTGCTCAGCCAACTAGGAAGAGAGCACACCATGACTCCATGTATGCAAACCACAAAAACAGGACAAACACTGCCTCCGTGCTGTTGGTTGGTACCAGCTCACCTTAGAGGTCTCTGTGTTGTTGGTGAATACCAGCTCACCTTAGAGAGGGGTGGCACAGAGCACAGAGACCGGACCAGAGCGTTGCCAGTATTGCTGATGGGAGTATAGGTGAGTGCAGTGGTAAAACCTCACCCAGCTGCACACGTCCTCTTTTGCACGTGTATTCTACTTTGACAAAAGATGTTTAGATAGAACAACATACAGAGTGTACTGTTGTTTTTCGAAAGAGCGGGTAGTCAGGAAGCAGCTGTATTGCTGCAAGGTATAAGAACCTCAGCTTCCTCCATGAGAGTCTATAATGTATCACAGGCTTTTTAGGGTCTTATATAAATTACATGTTTCTGAATGCATCCACTCCTGTGGAATCCTGATGGAAGATTCCTTAATGTTGCTCTGCCACTGGGGGTTCTTCAGTGTTTTGACTGACAGAAACATGTGCTGAATGCTGGACTTGCTTTTATTAAAGTTCATCCTTAATATAGCTTAAATGATCAGTTCCGTAGAGAGAGAAAACAAGTATTGTCCCTTTTAAATTCCATCCCACATAGCCTAAAATTACACCTGCAGCAGAGTACCTCAAACAACACGACTGGTACATAATTAAAAACACTTTCAAAAAGCAAACTTAGAGCTTGTGAAGAGAAGTATCCAACTGTAGTTTTGAGATAACTAGTATTTGTCCTTTGCAAATTCTTTCCTGTCCACGTAGTAGCTACAAGCAGACTGGATATTTCCTAATCCAGATAAACCTGCAGTAGTCTCTGAGTTGTGAAAGGTGATAGAGATTTAAAACCCAGATCATTCCTGGAGCATTTCAACTCTGAGGACACTAACAAATGAGCTAGCCTTTGGCTTCCTCACTGGTACAGCTTCAAAGCCACAAGTATGGGAGAGGAAAGGAAGTGAGGAGAAGACGAGCCATCTGCCACGTGTAGTTCCCATAGTCAAGAGAAGGGACATTTGTCCTAACAGCAGATGGCAGAAAAAGAGAAAAAAAAACTGTAAGTTGATCAATTGCACCTCCCCTAGAAGGTCCAGGGGATTTTAAACATTAGCTGAAGGGAAAACTCACTGGGAATAGAAGACTTTGGAAGCAGCTAAGAGGATAATGCATGTGCACAGCCAGTGGAATGAGAAGAAATAAATAGTATCTTTTTCCAAATTTTCATTTGGGTGCTTAATATTAATATAATGACATTAAAAATTCAAAAGAAAAAATCTATTATTCATGGTGAAGACTTACCTCTCAGTGTGTGTATGATGAAGACACAAGATCCTTCTTGCAGGGTTAAGTGATTCCTGGCCAGCTCACCCATAACCATACCACAAGGACCAGCTCTACTGTGCTGCCCAGGCAAGGTGCTGTCCCTTGCTGACTGCAGCACTCAGGAGAGCATGCCCTGAACCTGCCTGGGCAATGTAGTAGAGTTGACCCTGACAGTGGTCATGGGAGATCACCCCAAGGGCATGACAGCAGGAGAGATGGTCCCACCTCTTGCCAGCTACACCACTAGAGAAAGCAGGTCCTGACCCTCTCCAGGGCAGTGCTGGAGACCTGGCCCTGGCTATGTGGACATGAGAGAGCTGGTCCAGGTCCCCCAGCTACCACAGGCAGGAGAACTGGGCCCGCCCCTCACTTGGACAAGCAGGAGTACAGGCCCTGATGGCATGGTGCAGGCGAGGTAGTAGGCTGACCAACTCAGCTACCACTCAGGTTCTGATTAACGGCTTTGAGTTGGCCCACCCCAACAACTATGCCATCTAAGAACTGCTGGAGCTTGTGAAAGGGCCTGTCCTGAAGAACCAGTGACAAAATCTCCATGACACAGGACAAAGTCAGACTATCTGAGAGGAGTCCCACTATGGATAGTGTAGCAGAAGTCAGCGGTCTCGTATCAAACCAATGACTCACTGCAATGAACACTTTCAAGTAAAGCTGTTTGGGCAAACAGACAGACTGGGCAACACACTATGACATACCAAAGCTTCTGTGGAGTGATGCTTTGTGGTTACTGCTTTTAATTTTTATTTTTTACCGTTTTACTTTTTGTTTTCTTTTGTGGAGGAGATTGCAAAGGCAGAGGGCATACACAGAGAGATGGGAAGATGAGTGGGATCTCAAAGACAGAGAGCATACATGGAGAGATGGAGAGATGTGTGGAATTGCAGAGGGCATACACAGAGAGATGGAGAGATGGGTGGGATTGCAGAGGGCATACACAGAGAGATGGAGAGATGGGTGGGATCTCAAAGGCAGAGGGCATACATGGAGAGATGGGAAGATGGGTGGGATTGGAGTACATGACACAAGATTCACAAAGAATCAATAAAAAGTTTTAAAAATAAAAATTGAGTGATTTATTGGTGAATAAGAATATTAACAGAATATTAGCAAATACATCCTAGTTCTCCTCACTCCTTAGAAGTGCCAGTATCCTCTTCAACCCCATTCCCTGGAGGAAACCCATCACATCCTAGGCTTAAGTTTCCCCTTAATGTCATGTGGCATATGGACATTTCCAGAAATGAACAAGCTTAGGAGCCTAAATCAGGACTGAGTCCCTTCTGATAGAAAACATCACCATCCCTCACAGCTGGGTCTGACTGAGACTTGACTGACAGGGAAAGGCAGTGGGATGGGCCTAGCTCCCATGCTTTGCCACCACACATATTCGTCCTCTTTATTCCACATGCAACTATCGGGCCAGGAGGGAAGCCTTGCTTGACTGGAACCTCTGCGATCTGATATTAGGAACGAGAGGAGCCAAATGTTAGTTCATCAGCATGGCTCCCTCATGGGACCCTAAAGACCATTTAATCTGACTGGGCCCCACACCCCCACAGGAAGGTCCTCCTCCAAGTAGGATCTGCCAAAATAACCAACCAAATAAATTGTAGGCCTCTTTATAGATGATGGCAAGCAGACATCCTTCATCCTCTACTAGAGTCTAAACCTTTCTTCTTCCTCTGCCTTGGGATGCTCTCACTGTATCTGTCTTTTAGCAAGTGCTCCAGTACTGTTGCCCTGGCCCCGTAGGCATGATGAACTGAATAATACTCCTAAGGAGGAGTGAGAGGTTGGTCTTCAAGCCATTATAAGTACTAATTAACCAGATCAAAATATATTCTCCTAGTAATGAGAACAAAAAATCCTCTAGAGGGCAGAAGTTCCCCATGATTGGGAAGGACCAGTGTAGAGGATCCCAGGGAAGCACTGACTAAAACAATCAATGTTTTTCAAATTCCTTCCTGGAGACACTGGAAGCTCCCTGAGCCATTGGGCAGGAAGCACCACCCTCTCTCTCCTCTTCCCACTCATTCACCTTTCCCAGAATCATCCTGAATTTTATTTGTAGGTTGGGCGGGGGGGGGAGGGGAGGGGATGAACAAGAGTGGTGCTCTTGTATAAGGAGTCATTTCCCTTTTATGAAGTGGGTGTGTTTGGATATTTATTGCAAAAGAAAACGCATTCATTTTTGTGCGTATTGTGAGGGTGTTGACTATTAGGTTCAAGTACATTATAAGTAATTAGAAAGAAATGGATATGGTGTTGAGAAAAATGCACCAACTAAAGAAACATCATAACCTTATGGGTTTCAATAAAGTTACGTTTTGGGGAAGGAGCGGAAGAGAAAAGGCAGGAGAGAAGATGCAGGTCTTCTTGGGAGGCTGTGATTTCAAATAACTTGTAAGTGCTTGAATGTTGCTGACACCTTCCTGGTTTTGTCTTTGTTGGAATAACAGAATGCAAGAGCCAATGGCCAGGGAGAAAGAAGAATAGTATGACTTATTTGTATTCATTTTAGTACACATTAGCGACCTTCCAGAAGGTATTTACATGTATAAACAAAATGAAGAAGACAGTAACTCTAAGCCAATAGAGAAAGAACAAGGCACACATAATACTTTATTTTCAATAGCACAGAAAAAAGTCACCACTGAACCTTCAGAAGAAAAAACATTATTTACAATAAACGGCAATGAAATGGAAAAGGAGAGGCATATAAGAAAAACCACAGCAAATATTTCCTTCTGAGGGTGAGTTAAAACATTAGGTTGGGTTGCAACATAACTAATTTATCAGAACCATTAATAAACTATGTGTGTAGATTACAAACTGTTATCCAACAGCCAGATTTAAAAAAAGAAGAAACATATTCCAACGCATGATGAGTGCTTAAATAGTTTTGCTTGTGTTTTCTGGAGGTTTGGGATCACTTCCTTTTTCCACTGCCACATTAGACAAAAAAAAAAGTTCCTAAACAGCCACAAACTCTCTTATCATCAAGAGAATCCCTGGAGATCTTAAGTCACTGGTGTTGGAGGTGTGAAGAACCCTGTGATCTGGCTAGAAGCCCCACCAGCAGTCATACCACCCAAATGACCAGGTGGGGCAGCTAGGAGAAACAAAAGCCAATTTTTGTAAAAGCTAAGCTTCCCCCTAGGGTCTTAGTCTTCAGCTAAAATGGGCCCAGAACTTTATCCAGTACTCCAAAGATCTAGAATACTCTGCAAAGTGTTTCCATGAGCTGACAACTTATTCATTTTTCAGAAATATTGATCATTTGTGAACTATCCTTATGTACTTGTTTTGTGTGAATAACCTATGTTTTTAGCAGAAATATTAAAGCATTAATATTTCAGACCCTATTTTTGGAGTTCCATAATATATAGTATTTACAACATGCCATCTTTTTAAAATCTCCTATTAAGATCCTGAAAAAACCATTTCTCAGGGTTTAATATGAAGACTTCCAGACCCACAGCTTAGTGTCAGGGTACTCTCGTGGGCCCCATACTCTAGAGTTCCTCAAGGCTTTAAAATGGTGGAAATGTATGGAACATTCTTCATCTCAGTGAAGAAAGGTGAAGTTCTAAGGATAATGTCCTCCACGTCATCCTTACAGGAATTTCCATGTGGAAGACTGCGTTTTTGTGAGCGGTTCTAAATCTTTGACAAATGAAGAATACACATTCTTTGCTAAGGTGATTCCCTTTCATTACAAGCGTGTGCCATTTTCTTTGACAAAGAAAAACAAGGAGGAATTGGAAAAGAAGTGTCTGTTAGTATGAAGGCTACACATGACAAGTACCAGCTGCTTCCTGATTCAGCAAATTTAACAGTTTATTGTATAGAAAGTGATTGTCTGCATACAAAGTTTACAGAATCTGCAACTCCAGACAAGTTACCTGAGACTTAGCAGGGCCCTGCCACTTAAGGAGAACAGAATTTGCCAAAGAAAATGATGTTTCGTGTTTTGTTGTGTCTAATGATATAGATAAATGGGTGGTCAGCATTGAATTCATCCTTGTGCTGTAAGATTCGGGATCCTGGCACCTCAATGGACTCACCACCATCTTCGTTTATTTCTAGGCATACCCTGTGAATCACATTTGATAGGGTCACTCCCTTGGTCTCTGACATGCCAGAGAAATCAGATGTGTTTTCATCGAAGAGACTTTTCAGACCCAGCCTTTCCAGACTAGCCTTGGGATCAATCATCTTTTCCACCTTAAACTTTGGGAGAGAGAGTTTGACTTTGGCGTTGGCCATGGTGCTGGGGTTGGTCCACTGCAACAGTGTGTCTGGGTTGAGCTGCTTTTCAATCTGAAGGACAAAATAGGAAAGAATTTTATTTACTTCTGATTGGAAAGAAAGATAAAGGAAGGAAGGAAGATCTACCTGGATTAAAAACAGAAAGCATTACTGTAAAACCAGCTTTAAACAATCTAAATCAACTTTGGTTTGGAGATGGCCCAGCAAGTTCCTCATATGGGATCCACCAGCCACCCAGACGTCTCCTCCCCACCCTACAGGAAGGCTCTCTTTTCCTTAAGTTATAGAGCAGTTTTGTTTGTTTTTTTTTATTGCAGAAACAGACACATAGATTATGATTTACATACACCACAGTAAAATGAATATAAAATTAGAAGTTTTTTTATAGATCCGCTGACTGTTTATTATACTTTCTTTACAAAAGAGTTTGCATTATTCATGATCTAGGCATACCACCAAAGTTAATTAAAAGCTATTCCTTTTCTCTTTATGATGGGAACTCAGACTAGCTCTGATCTGCTCCTTAGATTGCAGGTGATGAATACAACCATTTCAACTGGTTGAAAAGATAGATATGCATTGAAGCATAAAATAAGTTAGTCATAAAATTCTTCATGGAACAAATGAAATCAAATGGCTCCTTGTCCTTCCCCCAAGTGCCACTGAGAATGACAGTTCCCTGCGACTAATATACACCAGTGTTACTCTCCTGGTGCGGATAACAGCCAAGGGCATGGCAAAGTCACAAGCTGGTGTGAGTGTGTTTTCGATAGGGAAGGAATAATTTAGTCTTTTATTAGTATACAACAGCTACTTCTCATTAATATTCTCACTTTCACTTGGTACAAATTAATAGGACCAAAAAAATCACTATAATTAACTAGTTTTGCAACTAGTGGGCTAATGGGCTTATTGATCTGTCCATTTACCACATGAAGTACAGGCCAAGAGCTCTTCTTCCTCTTGAACTCAAACTCTTTATCTTTGTGTCACTGACTGATCATGTGGCCATCAGCTACTCGCTTCTGTGACTTCCTTCCTCACTAGTAAACAAGAACGTGATAATGGCTTCTAATATTATACAAATTGAATGAGAAAATTATTGGAAGACTTTAGTAGCAACCTTGGCCCATTGTAGATGACAAACAAATGTTGGCCGTTTTCACTTTAAAGAAGAAAAGAGCCAGACTGGACCTCAAACCCCTTGAAGACGACTGGGCTAGGGTGTGTGGGCAGGGCCGTGCCTGCTCCTCCCTCCTCTCACTTGTTCTCCTGTCTAAGTGCCCAGCTGCCTTCTGACCTTTTCCAGGCCCGTGGACTCATCCTCCACATCCTTGGGTAGCACAATGAGCATACTGAGATGCTTATTCTGGAAGGGAAGTTCTATGATCTTAGCGTTGATGTCATCAATGTTGCCCAAACAGAACGTGGCCTCTAGATTCATCATTTGTACTGGTTTGGTGTCTGTCTGTTAGAAGAGAAAGTTTTAAAAGGGTTAATGTTCAATTTATAAAAAATACATATATATGCATATAAACATATCTATACAAACACAAATATACAAACATAGACAGAGATTTACATGATAGAGATAGAAATAGAGACAGGAATGATAATAGAGATAAAAATATACTAATTTCTCTTATGCTTTTGGATCACTGTAGCTTAAGCACACACAGGGGAATCCACGCTACTTGCATCCTGTGATGACTTTATGACTTCATTTGAAAGCTATTCATGTACTTTACTATCCCATGCGCTCCACATGATAAAAAACTATATTATATTTACACACATAAAAAGGAAAATAGCACAATTTGACTTATATCAAAATACAAGGAATTAATATGAATACGGAAGCAGGCACCTGTAACCCAGCACTCTGTAAGCAGAGGCAGAAGAACCAGGAATTGAAGGCAAGCCTGAGCTACATCGCAAATTCAAAGCCAGTTTGAGCTACATAGAAATACCTTGTCTCAAAACCACATGGACTGAAGACATCGCTCAGGACTTTAGCATTTGCCTAGCATGTGCAAAGCTGTGGGTTCAACGCCCTAGCAATGTGTATACGTGTGCATGCGCATGAGCACACACACACACACAAAGGTAGAGGGGGAAGGAGGGAGAAAAATGTATAAAATTATTTTCAAACTTTTTCTAATATGTATATGAAACAAACAAATTCCTTAGTTAGATTTGGGTTCAACCCCCAAGATAATTCATTAAATAAATGGAAGTGTTACAAAATCTGGGGAAAACAATCTAAACCCCTAACCACTTCTTGTCTCAAACATTTAAGTACATAACTTGTAGATCTGTACAGAATTTCTCAGAATAGACATCACATTAAGCTCTTACTATAACTTCATCAGTATAGTCTAGCCCTTAAAGGAAACCTCAAGGTACATTAGAAACAGTTTAATACTGACACTCAGAACACTCAGTGATTTACAAATGTGCTTCAATTCAACAGCAGTGTGCTACCCCATGCACACAGAGTCAAGTCTAACCGCATGTTGGCAGATACTGAACTACCATGATGTCACCCCTAGAACTGCTCAGGGGCTAGGTTTCCAGGCTCTAGTGTCACCAGGCTTTATGACATCATAGCAAGAATGAAGGGAGAGCACACATTCTCTCTCTCCGTTTAGAAACATGCTTTAGCCATTTCACAAATATAAAAACCACAGATCTTAACAAGATCAAAGCCCAAGTCCCAGTTCCACCCACTGGCATTCTATGAGTGACCCCAGGGAACCCACAAGAGACCCCCTGAGCCACATGCTCTAGAGCCCATTGCTGACCCTTCCCAGAGAGGAGCGTCAACCATCAACCAAATGAGTCATGTCATCCTGACATGACTGGTAGTGGGGTGACCCCACACCTCTGTGAGGGCAGAGGCTGTAAAGTATGTGCTGCTCCAGCTCTCAGTGGCAGACAGCATCAAGAATGCCCAGAGGCATTCCAAAGCCCGTGTGTGTACTTGCAGTGTCTGAGGTGTCTAAAGAGTAACCGCTGTCACCAACACGCTTCTGGTGGACAGCCAGCCCTGTACCTAGCAGTCAGTTAAGTTCACTGCAGTCAAAGAACTCAGGAGATAAAGTGTGAGGAGAATCCCCTGCCCCCTCCTCAACCAGCACCCTGGGAGACTCTGGATCCATAGGAACAGCTTCTCCCTCCCCAGAACTCTGGGAGACTCTGGATCCAGCAGGAGCATCAGCACCCAGAACCCTGGGAGACTCTAGATGAGTCAAAAGCACTAACAGTACTTCTCCCTCCCTAAGAACTATGTGATCACGGACTGTTGTGTTTTATCTGACACTGATTTAGAGCTGAGGGTGTGGGTCAGTATGTCAAATGCTTGCATAGCATGCACAGAGCTCTGGTTTGAATTCCTGGCAATACACGCACCAAGTGTAGTGGTGAGTGGATATAATCCCGGCATCGGAGAGGTAGAGACAAGAGAGTCAAAGGCCAGAGTCATTTGAGGATATGTTATAAGCTGGAATCTAGCCTGGGTTACATAAGATTGTCTCAAAAAATTGGGGTGCTGGTCTTTGAAAATGGATTGATTATTCATCCAAAAGTTTGCAGACTGCTTAATGTAAGAAACTGTAAACACCGAGGTGAGAAAGGCATCATCCTTACCTTTACAAAGTTCAGCCACTAATTGAGCAAATAGGAAAGCAAATTTGTCTTAAGAAAAAAATATTTGATGTGAGAGGGGTATGGACATAAACTCCATGAGGGAACGGGGCAATTACAGAAGCCACTCTAGCTAACCCAGGCCAAGTTGGTATATGAAAAGGATTTTCTCCTTGATTCTAGCATTAAGAACCTGAGAACAGACAGGGCTCAGGGGAAAACCTACTACTATTATTCTGCTGAGGAACATAGCAATAAAATGACTCCTAACGACACCCGGCTATACACATAGCTAAGAGCAGCAGCATCAGAGAACTTTCTTCTTTCAGTAGATGGTAACTAACAAAAAAATTCCACACTGGACGGTGTGCACAGGGTGAGGGACTTCATAGTGCCCAATCCTAAAAGGGATGTATGTATATGACTCCTCCCTCAAGGCTCAGAGATCTATGTAGAAGAGGAGGCAGGAAGACTATAAAAGGCAGAGGTGGTGGATGACATCAGGAACCAGCATTTTTCAGACACAGCAGGACTGATACACACATGAATTTACGGAGGCTGGGACAGCATGCACAAGACCTGTGACAGTTCGAGCCAGATGGAATCCCTGCACTGAGAAGAGGAAGTAGACACCAAGTCCCACCCTAACCAAAAAGTTCTTTGCCATGGATACCTGCTGGGAAAGGGGAACTCCATTTTCTCCAATGGAGTGTCCCTGGGTTTATCAACCACACTCCAGGGAAGGCCCATGCTCAGGAGCAGTCGGCCAGCACTCCATGGCTTTCATGAGTGTGCTTTTTGTTTGTTATTTCTTGTCTTGTTTTCTTTTTTATTTTGTTTATTTCTTTTGACTTTTGTTGTTTGTTGTTTTTTGTTTGTTTGTTTGGAAAGGGTGAGAACATCATGCGCTTGGGTGGGGAGGGAGAGGGAAAAGAATATGATCAAAATGAATTTATTTTTAAGAATGATATTTGGTGAAAACAAGTGGCTGGTAGCAGGCAGTCCAGGATCTGGGAGAACCTGAACACTAAGAAGTGCAGCATTGTATCCACAAAATGAAACACCTTGAGTATTTCAGCTAAAGTGTTTACCATTTCAGGCCTGAGTTTTCATTATTATTACATTTATTCAGATGTGTGTGTTCAGACATATGCAAGCATTATAGTACATGCACACATGTGGAAGTTAGAACAACTGGCGAAAGTTGTCTCTCTTTTTATACCATGTGGATCTGAGGAACCGAACACAAGCCATGAGGGTTGGAAGTAAGTTCCTTTACCTGCTGAGGCATTTTGCTGGCCCAAATACTCATACAAATCACATTCCTCGTATAAAACCAAATCACACACAAATCCCTGAGGTTCCCCAGGATCTTTCAAGATTTTTCTAGTCTTGATTCTTTGGTTTAATATATTTTAAAATGGTCCTTTGTTTACAAATATTAGTTTTTATGCATCCACCTCAATAGCATAAATGATACTGCCCCCCAAAAATGATCTTCTAATTCTTTTTGTAATGACTCCTGGGAATAGATGAGTCATGCTATGCTTTGTTCTTCATAATCAACCAGGGCCTCAAAGCATATTATAAATGCTCTAGGCTGGGCTGGGGAGTGGAAGGCTGGGCTGGATGGGAGGAATGGGGTTGGGGCTGTGCTGGGGCTGCGCTGGGGCTGGGCTGGGGCTGGAGATGGGCTCTACCAAAAGGGGAAAGGAGGAAGGGGTAAGAGATGAATATTAAACCGTGGTTTTTATCACCAAGTATGTAAGAAAATGAGAAAAAAGTGAGGTGACTGAGTCAGGAGCACAATTCCTAACTGGCCTAACTTTCCTGATAACCCAAAGGCCTCTAATGTGGTTTCTTTGCTTCCTTCCCTTCCTTTTCCCTCCTTGATTTCAGGAAGTCTTCACATCCACGCCAGGAGTGCCTGAGCCCTGCTCTGCTGCCAGGATTTGAACCCCATTTCCTGCTTCATGCTGCGCATACCTTGTTGACTCTGAACGGACATTCTTTTGTTTCTGATTCAGGAAATTTTTTCATCCACTTTCCAACAAAGTAGGCGGCATTAACCATGAGGATTTTGGTCTGGTCGCTTACACTGTTCTCCGACAAAATGTTCTCAAAATGGCCTGCAAATTATTGTAGAAACCACACATCACGGTCATTCATCGAAGTAGCCTGCTACTGCATGCTTGTTCACTGACTGGATGCCCATCACTCCTTAGCATCACACCTGGAAGGACTGGTAGCCAAGTCTGTCCACTTGAGGGCATCTTTTCTGCCCTCCTCCCCATCCAGACCAGACATCTCAGAGAGATCTAGGACTGGAAATAAGCCCTTTCTGACTCAGCCTGTACTCCTGCGCTGAGTAGACTTGCGCTTTCCACCAGGCCGTGTCCACACCTCCACATATATCACCTCACTGTTTTCCATTTACAGTTGAGGAACCTGAGGTTCGGAAGGGGTCAAGGGCTGCCCTCCTGTGCTCAGCTGAGGCTACATCTTCACTCTACATTTCTACGCTCCTCTCCTCAGCTCACTCCTTGGAGGCAGCTGATGGACTGTAGGTCAGCTGTAACACTCACAAGTGCAGTCACGTCATAATTACCTCAGGCCTTTAGTCCTCCACAGCCCACAGAGCACAAGCACGAAACCCCCTTAAGAAAAACACTCCTCTGGTTTGAATGGCACCTGGCATTTTTGTAAAGCACTGTCACTTACCTAATCTCTAATTTTCATGTTGTGGTCATGCCCAGTGTCCATTTTAAGGAACCATGCACAAGGTCAGTGTTCTGCCACCACTGCCTTAAGATGCTAACTAATGAATGTATAACATACAGCCTGCATTTTCTTTCATGCTCTAGGCCCTACAACCTGAGTCCAGTCCTGCCGATGCCACCTCTGTCGGCTACGTGATGACTTTATTAAAAAGGAAACCCGAAGTCCTAATAAAAAATCCAGGTGCCAATAGTGGCAGAGTTTCAGCTGACCCCTTGCTTCTGTCTCCAAATTCAGAATTCCCCCTAAGTCCCCACCCTCTCCAGTCAGAAACTGTAAACTTATTGAGATGCCAGGATAGAAAGCTTAGACAGTTTATAAACAAAGCTGCAACAGCGATTTTAAGCCAAAGCTTCCTTCTGCTTACAATGTTCAAAATTGTATTAAACCTGGTGCTGTTTATATCAGCTTTTCCTTCCCATGCAAGGCCAAAGAGATTTTATTTCAGTAACATATGTGTGTGTGTGTACATGCAATATATATCTATATATATATGTGTATATATATATCCACATGCGTATATGTTTATGACTACCATGTAGTGTATATACACACGATATACTTGGAGGCCTCACAGCAATCACGTGTGAATTTTATTAAGATATGCCACATTTGACTGTTCGGTAAATTGCAGCTCCATATCTAAACGTGTTGACCATCGATATGTGGTACCTGGATTTGAATCTGGCTTCTAAATGACTCCAGAGTTCCTGTTCTTCCCGTGTTGTTAGAGGTGGACATCACTCATGAGGCAGCACTCAAATGGGATGCCGTGCTGGGCTCTGACAGTTCTCAAAAGCAGTGTATCTCCTCACCCCAGCAGCTTCCCTCCGCAGCCGTCAGTGACCGCCAGTCCTTCAAAACTACTTTCTACCTCCCAACAGGCCCCCCTCAACAAACACATCTCTAGAAAAGGAGAACTAGTCACTGACTGCAATCCAAACCATCTGAGTTCCGATTCTTTCTTGGCAAGGGAGACAACTGACAGGGACTTTTAATGGGGGAGGGGAAGTCAATGCAGAGAGAGGGGCTGAAAGGGAGCAGGAGTGGACTTGAATGCGGGCAGCCTGAGAACGTGTGAGATTAGGAACAAACTTCCACTCTGGTTGCTAGGTTTGCTTTGTTCTAGATTTGCATTTGCCTAAGACTTTTTGGATTTTTTTTTTCATTTTTGATAAAGCTGTAAAAATTTTTAGTTGGAAGTAGATTCAAGGATCATCTTCCCATTTCAAGACTTTAAAACCTGACTTTGTGACTTGCCAAAAGCCATAGTATAAAGGAAACAGCTGGGCCCCTACCAGGGCATGTGGCAGCTTGTTAGAAAGCAAAGCAAAGCACGCTAAAGAAAAAAAAAAAGCATATAATTTGCCAAGTTATGAGCTGATACAAGAAATGCCCAGAAACTGGAGTTGACATGACTTGATGGGCAAAGAACTTAGCTTGCACACTAAAATTACCCGAAGAAGCGTCCAGATGTTCAATATTTTTAGGCTTAAAGCAAGCATTGTTAAGCAGGGAGACCTCCTTACTCAGCTGTTTACAGAACATTAAAGGGTACTTGCCATCTGTGAGCTCCTTAACAGAGCTGTTAATTTGACCTTTCGTTTCTTCCAGTTTATCTTTGAAGTCGACAGTTTCCAATTCTTTTGCATATGGCCTTTTTGTAGAACTGATAAATTCCTGAAAAACATCCAATTCACAGAATCACAAAGCTCTTAGCATCTGTAGGTGGAGCTAATGCTAAGAAATGAATTCCTTAAATATCTATTACTATGAATACATTTTCAAAAATTGGTTACACCATATGAAGCCTTATGTAGAAATAAGTATTTTCTTTGTATTAGATGTTTTATTTCTTCAGTTATAAGACATAACAATTATTAAACTATCAATTGATTATCAGGTCTGTCAAAAACTAAAGAAACACTATATTAAACATGTATAGTTAAAGTATAAATCTCAATATTTCAAAAATATTTACTTATATTATTACACACATAGTTTAAATATGCAGTTGTGATTTTAAACTATATATACCTCAGACACTTAAGGTTTGAACTTTTAGTTCTCAATTTCTGGTGCTATTTTGAGACTGGTAAACTTTGAGAAATACAGCCTAACTGGAAAAAAAATGGGGTCCTTGGAGATAATATTCTCACTGTCACTTCCTGTCACTCTCTACTCCCTGTTCCTTCATGATGTGAGCAGCTATCTTCCGATACCTGCTCCTACTGACATTTCTGCCCAAACAGCCATGGACTTTGGAAACTTAGAGCCAAAATAATTCTTTCTTCCATTAATTTGCCTCTAGAAAGTATTTTATTACTGCAACAAGAACAAATAATGAATACAACATATATATGATGTATATATACATATATATGATGTATGTCAAAATAAGAATCAGAAATGAAAACAATGAGCAAAAAACCCTTATCTCCACTAAAATAAATGAATATTCTTTAGAGTCCTGACACTCAATATATGGTCCAAAGATCAGAAGTCAAGCATCACCTAAGATCTTGTTAGAATGAGCTCTCCGGCCCCTTGACTGACTTAGACTACGCATTTTAGCACGATTTCCATGAGTTGCACATTGAAATGTGAAGTATGGGACTGTGAAGAACATAGTGCTGTGTCTAACTCTAATTCTTGTTTAAAATGCAAATCCTACCCACACTGATCTTGATACAAGAGATGGGAGGCCATGAACTTAGGCTTTCAACAAATATTTGAGAGGTTTAAATTCAAAGGCCGCTCCTCTGGGTACCAGCTGGTAAATATGCAGGTATTTCATGGTAGGAGAATCAATGAAAAACAGAGAAAAAGGAAGAGAAAGGGAAAGAAGAGAAGAAGGGAAGGGAGAGGAGGGAAGAAATGGAGGGAAAAAAGGAAAGAGAAGGGAAGTATGAAGGGCAAGGGGAAAGAAAAAGGGAGAAAATGTTAAGGAAAAGGAGGGAATAGAAAGGGAAAAGAGAAAAGAAAAGAAATGAAGGGAAGGAAAGAGAAGAAATGAAAAGAAAGGTTTGGTAGAAATGATTCTAAATATGGAAGGGAAGTCCAAGCAAGCCAACAGAGTTGGATGCCATGTCACCCTGTCCTTGAATTCCTGCAGAGTAACAACAGTCTCTCCCAACTAACTTAGCTCCACTTAGCTAAAAGTCAACCGTGGAGTGATGGGAGCAGCCAGCACTCCTAAGAACATCAAAAGACTGCAAGTGAAGAGCCCCCACTGTCATCGCCAATGGCAAGTCTTAAACATCACCTGGGGAGTTTCTAACATGCTCCCATACTCAGATGAAATGCACATCTCAGCATCCTCTAATTTCCCAGGCGACAGCTGGAACAAAAATAGCTGTGCATATGTGTCTTCATGCCATAAGGGTAAACTCACAACAATATCGAATAACTTATTTCTCAAACGTCTCTCAAAAGCAAGTGTGGAATGCAGAACACTGCCATGCCATAGTGGGACATTTGGCCTGGCAATCTAGAAGCTGGAAATTGTGACCAGAGAAACAAGAGCTGAGTCAGTTCTACATTACCAGAGAAGGGAATGTCCTGTAATCGAGAATGTTGGTTATGAGTTAGAATAGAGATCTTAAAAATATTGCGCTACACTCTAGGATCTAACAGGAGGGGATCACAGTGTTCTTCATATGACTGCTTCAAGAAACGCCTTGGCTTAAATGACTACGGCAGCTTTGTACAATGTCTTTCTGAGTGGCCTAGGAAAATAGCACTGGCTCACATCTGATGAAAATGAGTCATTTATGTTGGTTATTTTCTACTTATTCTAAATGCTATCTGGACAAATTTAAAAAAAGAGTTGGGAAGTTTAAGACAACCTCAAGCAGTGTGTGCCCCCACTGTTTAAGGAGAGTGTTTCTTGCAAGTCATTTTGAGTCCTTATGAAGATCTGTTTACTAGATAGTTGGTCCTCCCATGATCCCTTCTTTCCAAAGGAACTGAGGGTGGGGAAGGATTGGTTAAAGTTCATAGGGTAAGGGGACAAGGTTCTCTGTATTCCAAGCCAGAAGTGACTGTTGTTTCATCCCGCATCATCTGCAGTAAGGTCGCTTTCCTTTCCTAAGCCTCAAACCATAGCTGGCCTATGAAAGGAGATGTCCTGGAACAAGCTGTGGGCCCACAGAGTGACATGCCCCTCCTGTGATGGAGCACAACCAAGCTGTGAAAAACCACTTACTGTAGAAGGGTTCAGAGATTTGTCTATGTAGAGTCGCTTGATTAGCTTCAAAGAGTAAAAGGAACTGAGCTTATTTACATCCGAAGTGACTGTTTGAAACCCAAAAGGTACATCTTTGACGTTCTCAAAATGAAGGACCTGTTTAAAAAAAAAAAAAGAGCATTCCATTATCAAAAAA